CTTTGCTTTGTATATAACCATGAAATGAATATACATGTATTTAGTAAAACTATTGGTTGTTGTTTAGAATTAGAATATGAACTGTATGTGAAGATGAGATTATACAGTAAGAGGAATTCGTAATATTGGTTGTAAGTTTGTTAGAGCTATTAGTACAGACTGCAGACTAAGACTATTTGCCAGTTCTGTGAATATTGTAAGAAGTTTAGGATATAAGTTGTTGAAGATGTATCTTTTCAAGCTCAGCAATCTCGCTGAAAAAGATAGTATTAGATCAAAGTGATGCAGATGACTATTGGAAATACATGAGCTAGTTAAGGAAGAGTTATGAGTTTATTCAGTATTAATGTAAATGCCTGAGACAAGGAAGTAACTTGTGAATTTAGGGATTAGTGGAGGCTGAGAGTAGAATTGCATTCTAAGGGTCTATGGGTACAGTGGATCCTCAGTCTTGGAGCGTAAAGAGTAGAAAGCTTATTAGGCAGTATTATAGGGATGATTATGCCAACATTCTTGTATTAGGTCTATATATGTGATTTCTTGAAAGAGACGCTAAGTGAAGAGTTATATGATTAGAAGCTAAAGTAGATTGACTGATACCGCAATGTTATAGACATTTGATAAGGGTTAAGTTATTTATTAGTAGCCAAGTTATGATTATGAGATCGATGAAGAGTTGCACTTTTACATAAAGCATGGAAGTAAGGATAGTTTCGTTTAGAGATAGTAAAGTAATGAAACTAACCAGATGATGTTCCTAGTGATATAGTAAGAGAACACGGAGAGCTAATGAATTCAATGTATGCGAACAGGTAGATTTATTTGTGTTTAATACTTGAAGAGTATTGTTATGCCATTTGATCGTATATATGTTATTGTAAGAAAAGACTGTTATTGTAGAAGATTAAGTAATAAAGACTTTGTTTTGCCATGCATCCTAGTCAACACCTTTCTTATTTTGTCTTCCTTTCATAGGTATGCCCCCTCCCTCGGGGTGCGGGCGCTACAAATTTGGCGACCTTGCCAGGACGGCCATCGTCGAAGAGACACGAGGACGATGTGTCGTCCTATGACACGAACAGTTGGATAATCGAAGAAGCAGTGATGTAACGATTAGGATAAAAAGGACCAGAAGTCAAAGCCGGAGAAGACCATCCCTGATTGGAAATGAGGTTGGCTCAGCATCAGGCGAGGATGGGTACTTCCGGGCCGCATACCATAGACCAGGTATGAGGCCTCGTACTCCATACACGGACAGAGTAGAGGTGGTGAGCGAGGTTGACCACCTAACACAGGCCAGGAACACCCAAACTAGCGGCTCATCTGACGACCATCCTATACCCCTAACAACCCCAGAACCAAGTGATGAAGCAGTGAGTGGAGGTAATAGTCCAGATAGCGATCCCCAGTCCAATATAGAGGATGCTCCAAGGAGAGGGAATCGACGCCGCAGAGCTCCCACCACATTCAGTTATGAATCCCTGGGTGAGCCTAGCATACTTACTCCGAATATTTCCATGGTTCAAAGCCGCAACAACCCCACCGATGCACCAAATCCCAGTCAAGAAGCATCTGTCCAGTGGTTCTCCAAGCCGCCACCCTCAACAGCCCAGCCACCTGCACCTTACCCCTATACGTATCACCCACCTATGCCACCCCTCCAATACCAACACCTACCACCATTCTACCCTCATCAAATGCCTCTACAGATGCAGACGCCGATAGCCCACCAGCAGCCAGCTCACTACCAACGACAGATGACGGATGACCAGCTTCACTTTTCACAGCGAGCGAGTCAATCATTCGACCCGCGAGGAATGCCCTACCAGTTGCGATGCTGAATAGATAATGACGGAGGAGAACACTAGCATTACACCATTTTTGTTATGCGTGTTAACGGATTTCCCTTTTTACAGTAGATGCATCGATGTATAGAATCATGTGTGTTGATTAGTAAACCAGAAATACGAGTAATGAGAAGTAGTAAGATGAAACAAGTTGTAAATCGTTTCATGAATTGTGGTGTAATATAAGGAAACAAGCGATGACACTCGATAGTGATCAATTGATCTTTGTGATAAAGTCTTCGGAATGAGTCTCGAGCTTTCCAAGAAACCTTCACCGTTTGTCAGGCGCGCCCGTAGAATGGGTTAATGTTTCGCAAAGTTTATTTGTATGGAAGAAAAAGCCACGTAATTCTGATACGATATTATGATATGTAAGTCTGAGACTTCAAGTACCTATTAGGTTTCGCTATAACAAGTTGCAACAAGTGTATATATATGAACTCGATGTACTACATGTATCTCGCAGAAGAATTGGAGCACGATGATCTGTCAGCGTTGCAAGGACATAGACTTTCATGGACTTTGGTGATAAGTCTCACCTCCCTGATCTGTCTTAAGTTCATAACGACATTGAACGAGAACTATATGAACATTAGATTGTTGTGCTATATTAATGAATTGTTATAAATGTTTGAAAGTTGAAATGTCCAGGAGACATTTATTTTTGGAGGGGAAGGTGTGGAGCCCCACAGAATACCCCCCCCCCCTATTTTTTTGTATATCTTTGACTATGTATGTATGACACAAGTATATTTCTAGCCCCCATATAGTCCCTCCTCTTAGTTAATTAGGTACCCCCTCCTGCGAGAGTGGCCTCACCCTCAACTAACCTAAACACACCAGCTGGGATACCAGGAGTGGCTTCTCACTTTGTTTTGCCATGCATCCTAGTCAACACCTTTCATATTTTGTCTTCCTTTCATAGGTAAGAAAGAATCTTATATTATTCAATTGTGTTATATTCTTGTTCTTCATAATATGTGTATTTCTAAACTATTATAGCTTCACTATTCACATATCTTGTATTACTGTGTAAAAAGAGATATTAATGATCTTTGCCAATGACTTGTTGGATTATATGACATGTGGACTATGAGAGGAAAATATATAAGAAATGCCATGTGGGAAGAGATGCCATGTGGGGAGAGATAATGTCATTGATGAACATAGTAATCACTTGTAGAAATGATAGGAAATTATTACTGTGTGTATGTGAGATTGATGATTATGTTGTTTGACTTAGACAACATTTTAAGAAGTTTTGAGAAGAGAATATACTTTATTACTGTCAGTATATTTGTCTTTTGCTCGATATTCATGTGTATATATATATATATTTATAGTTTGGTTAGATACAGTTTAATAGCGAAATGGGTTGTTCGAGTCCAGATTATCTTTAACTTTCAGTATTATGGTATGAGTGAGTGTGGACGCACCATGTGTACAATACTAGTGTGTTATTAGGATATGGCAGTGCGTTCAATGTGAACACAACTTCTTATCAGAGTTCTTAATCCCCTCTCCCCCCAAGCTTGACCATCCACTGCAATGCATTACACGCACACAGTGTAGATAGAGTATATGCTATACCCAAATGCTATGCTGAGAAGTGTTAGAGATAGAATGTGTTTGTTTTTGACCCATGCTGGAAATGGTATCTTAGGCGGGAATGAAAGTTTGGTAGAGTCAGCAAAATGAGAAGACAAAGGATTTGAGTTGGGGAATACACTTGTTGAGAAACACATGGTCAAATTGTCTAATAGTTAGCTAGTGATGGATGGGTTGATGAGATATTGTAGTTGAAGACTTGCATAATCACTGTCTGGAATTCATTGTATTATATTGTTAGGAATGATAATTCAGGTTAAATGTTATTGGGAATTACTCTCTCTCTCTCTCTCTCTCTCTCTCTCTCTATATATATATATATATATATATATATCTCCCTCTCTCTCTCCCCTCTCTCTTTATATTCTCTCCCTCTCTTTCTCTCTCTCTCTCTCTCTCTCTCTCTCTCTCTGTATGGTTCACCCTTTCTCTTTCACTCTCACTTTGCTTTGTATATAACCATGAAATGAATATACATGTATTTAGTAAAACTATTGGTTGTTGTTTAGAATTAGAATATGAACTGTATGTGAAGATGAGATTATACAGTAAGAGGAATTCGTAATATTGGTTGTAAGTTTGTTAGAGCTATTAGTACAGACTGCAGACTAAGACTATTTGCCAGTTCTGTGAATATTGTAAGAAGTTTAGGATATAAGTTGTTGAAGATGTATCTTTTCAAGCTCAGCAATCTCGCTGAAAAAGATAGTATTAGATCAAAGTGATGCAGATGACTATTGGAAATACATGAGCTAGTTAAGGAAGAGTTATGAGTTTATTCAGTATTAATGTAAATGCCTGAGACAAGGAAGTAACTTGTGAATTTAGGGATTAGTGGAGGCTGAGAGTAGAATTGCATTCTAAGGGTCTATGGGTACAGTGGATCCTCAGTCTTGGAGCGTAAAGAGTAGAAAGCTTATTAGGCAGTATTATAGGGATGATTATGCCAACATTCTTGTATTAGGTCTATATATGTGATTTCTTGAAAGAGACGCTAAGTGAAGAGTTATATGATTAGAAGCTAAAGTAGATTGACTGATACCGCAATGTTATAGACATTTGATAAGGGTTAAGTTATTTATTAGTAGCCAAGTTATGATTATGAGATCGATGAAGAGTTGCACTTTTACATAAAGCATGGAAGTAAGGATAGTTTCGTTTAGAGATAGTAAAGTAATGAAACTAACCAGATGATGTTCCTAGTGATATAGTAAGAGAACACGGAGAGCTAATGAATTCAATGTATGCGAACAGGTAGATTTATTTGTGTTTAATACTTGAAGAGTATTGTTATGCCATTTGATCGTATATATGTTATTGTAAGAAAAGACTGTTATTGTAGAAGATTAAGTAATAAAGACTTTGTTTTGCCATGCATCCTAGTCAACACCTTTCTTATTTTGTCTTCCTTTCATAGGTATGCCCCCTCCCTCGGGGTGCGGGCGCTACAAATGAAACCAATAAACTATCTATCTATCTGCTGGACAACATCAACAAATGACATATGGGTGAAATGACCACTGGTCTTGGAGATTTAATACTGACCATGTATTCACCAAATGTCCTTTGCTTGACATCAGGATTGTTTTGGAGGAATGTTGGGATGGATGAAAGAGTCTCTCTCTGGAAGCAGTAGAAGACAACACTAGCTTGACGAGACTGGGTCTCGGTCTTACTGGGCTTCTCAAGAAACTGGGTGATCCTGAAAAAGTAGATTTACAAGAACAAGATATATTTACTGTTCCTTTAATGTCAATTTGCAAATGTGATGGATTTTTATGTAAATTTTACATCGTTTCAGCCCCTCTATTGTAAACCACAATATGATATAAATCAAAAGAATGTCTCATCAGGCCTTCACAAGTTAAACGGACTGTCTTGATGAACGTTTCTAAAGCTAGGTTGAAGGTCATTGATTCGACTGAGCCAGGCTTTAACAAGTAACAATGAACGTTTCTATAGCTAGGTTGAAGGTCAATGATTCGACTGAGCCAGGCTTTAACAAGTAACAATTAACATTTCTAGAGCTCGGTTTAATCTGAGCAGCATACCTTGCCTTAATTTTGATCTGAGTTCCATTAAAAATCATGATTTTCACAATTTTTTTCAACACCGATCATAAAGTATGAGTCAAAATGCTTTCAAGAACCAATGAAAGTTTGAACGCAAGCCTCTACTATGTCTATTCTAATAAAGTATTTTGTAAATCCTACCTATTAGTTTGAGGGCACACTTCCACTATGCCTCTACTTGTTATGTTCTCTGTTGGTTCCATGTCATAGTATATGGCCAGCTCACCTTCCTGAAAAACAAGGAATAAATGTTATATAATGTTAACCCTTACTGTACTGGGGGGGGGGGGGGCCTGGGAGGCCCCCCCCTCGACATTTTCGGAGATTGCGCCGCAACCGCTTGAAATTTTGAATTGTCGTTTCATGACTTTTTTCCCTCAAGTCTTACGCACGTTTTGATACCATTTTCGTCCCAATCGGATATACCTGTGAGGTGTTACATAACAATTAGTATGCGCATGTCATCAAAAATATGCTATAATTGCATATATTCATGTACAAGCAGAAATGTGAATACAGGTTTAGATGTATTCCTTCCTAAGTGGGTGATATGAATTGATATCGAATTGCTTTTATATGTTTCTCAAAGTAACTTGATGTATTCCAGAACAAAAGAATACATAAGAAATAAAAATAATAGATATAATAAGAAATAAAAAAACAAGAAAATACATAAGAAAATAAGTATTTGAAAATCGCATCAAATTTGCATAAATTATCATTATTAATTACATCCAAATAAATATTTTGTGTTAGAAAAGAAGTTTCATATGAATAATGAGTTTCAACGTTCAAAAAGTGAAGTTTGACACGTTTTCTGTAAAATGCATAAAATTAGCATTTTGCATAATTAATTAGGCTATAACGACAAAAATTTGCATATTCGCAAAAAACTAATTACACCATCTTGTTCGTTACGTAAATATCTACAAACATGCAAATTTTCGTGTTCATCGGACATCCGACGGCCGAGATCATAGGGGGGGGGGGGGGCTTCCCAGGCCCCCCCCCCCCCAGTCAGGAGGTGCTCAAAATAGCCCAGTACAGTAAGGGTTAAAGGGGGTGTATAGTGTGACGAGACTACTTGTCTTTCCTGTGGTATGACCCAGGGCCAATCAGGTATAATACGACTAAGGACGACGCGACCGCAGTATTCATGTGCATGCAACATAATTATTCGAAACCGAAGCGTGAGGAGAACTTTGGTCTGTTTCGTGAACACTAGCGCGTGCTGACCATTTATCAAGTCCATTTGTTTATAAAGTGCAGTTGTCTAAAGAAGTCAAAGATGGCATTTATTTGCCATGCTACACCCCCTTTAACATCTTACTCAAAATATCTGTGTTACAGCTAGTGTCACATGTATTTCTAAATCACATTTGGCAGTTTAGGAATTTTCTTTATGACTGGGTTATAAAATGTTCATTACCAACATTATCATTAACAGATTGACTTGACTAATTCTATTTGACAATATTCAACACTGCAACTAAAACCTGGTTTAACACTGGAGCTAAAATCTGATTACATTAAAATTGACGGATTGATAATACATTTTGAGAGATCCTATTTGTAGAATTTTGTAAAACTAAAAGCTCTGAACCAGCGCAGCTGAATATATTTTGTATAAAAGCTGCACCATATAAATTTATTATTATTATTATCATGTCTCACCTTTCTCCTGAAGTAGTGTATCACTTGAGTGATATCAAACTTGTGATCTTGAAAAAGCATGTCTCCTGCCACCTGAAGAACATTAGGAACAACATTAGGAACAACATTAACAACATTCTTTAAAAACAACAAAAATAACAACAAACAACAGATATTATAGTGCATTACATCAGTGCTATATCTAGCTTTTTGTAAAGGGGGATCCCCAAGACACTGAAAGGGGGTGGGGCCCTGGGGGGGGGGGGCAAAGACAGGCTGTGCATCCCCCTATCCATCAATATGCTACTACAAAATCAACTAAATTCAGGGAAGTTTAATATAACAATAAATAATTATGAAAACGGTGCTTATAAAGCACCACAGAAGTAAAGCCCTATAACAAATAAAAAACAATCTCATATTAACCAAAAAAAAAAAAAAAATACAAATAAACCTATAACCATAAACTGAGTAATTTTCTCATTTGTTGTGCAGTATTTAACACTCTAAATTTTGGGCAATACAAGTACATTTGTTTAGGAGATTAAAATATACTCCATTAATGAATAAACTTACCACAAGGATATCATCTTGAATATGTTTGTTTCTCAACACAAGATCAAGATCACCTACAGATCCTAATCTAAAGTCAAACAAGAAATAGAGACAAGAGGAGGGTTACACAGTCAAGGTAGCATTTCCTTCACTACTTAAATCATACAACCTTCACCCATTTACTTGTCTTAAAGGTCTTAAAGGTAATACAAAGTTTTGGTATGGGGTCATGAATTTGTTTCAAATGAACATACTGTATTGGAACATATTCAATGATTATTGTCGCGGTTGAATTCGAGTCTAAAGTGATGAAATAGTAAATAATAAACTCTTTATGTTGTATAGCGCCCTCTCAAGACTGATATTCCTTTAGCTTTCAAACAATTTTTCTGGACTACAATCGACCGATTTGCTATTCTCGTCTGAAAATTATTTGGAATGGCCTTAGGCGCTATTTGGAATATTTGAAATTTACCAGAAGCACCGGTAAATATTTGAGTATTCATTTTCTCAAAAGCAGAAGTGTTTTATGGCCCAAATTTTCTAGTGTTTATAATACATTCACAGGGGCTATCTCTTACTTTTGGTCTGCACATTTACACAATTTACACATTTACACCCTGTCATATACCAGGTGTCTAGAGTCTTACATCATAGAAGCTAGTAATTGCGAGCCTTCTCTCTCTCTTTTGCATTTTCTAATTCTGTCTTCCTTACTTGGTAACTATTTCCCAATGAATGTAGTGGTTCTTAGTTTGATAGAGCTAGTCTGTACAAATTGATTGTTGTACGTGTTTCTCCCCATCTCCTCCACCTCATTCTTTCTCTCTCTCTCTCTCTCTCTCTTTCTTTCTCTCTCTCTCTCTCTGTGTCTCTCTCTGTGTGTCTGTCTCTTTCTTTCTCTCTATCTCTCTCTCTCGCTCTCTCTCTTTCTTTCTCTCTCTCTCTCTCTCTCTGTCTCTGTCTCTCTCTCTTTCTTTCTTTCTCTCTATCTCTCTCTCCCTCGCTCTCTCTCTCTCTCTCTCTCTGTCTGTCTCTTTCTATCTCTCTCTCTCCTATGTAATTCTGTCTAAGTAATTACCTTCCATTGAATGTTGTGGTTCCATCATTGATGATGTTATCCACAGGGAAGTCTCTGGCTGTAGCCCACCTCTCATAGTGCTTGTATCTACCATAAAAAAAAAGAGATAAACTGATCACAAAATTGCAAACAAACTACAAAGCTCACAGAAATCAATGCCAAGATGTGCTGCAAATACAAGACAAATCAATCAATAAACGCAAGATAAACATTTATTATAGATGTTGGTGCATCTTAAAGCCACACTGTCCTACTTGTAGCTACTTGCTCCCTCTATATAGAAAACAATGCCTAATCCGTGACCATTGGTCCCCCATGATCCTCTTTTTCTTATGTTACTTGAGAGCTAAGCAGGGTGGTCTAATCCCTCCTGTAAACTAATACAGATGGGCTTTAAGGTGTGACAGACACACGTCTATGCTAGACTGGCTTGAGATCCTAAATTCCTCAATACTATGGTCCTGCCTCTATAATATGACCATTTACTTTGTAGCAACGATGCATTGTGTGCCCATGTGCACCTTTACATTTTTTTTATTATTTGCTGAGGAAGTTTTTTCCCCTTGGGACATATATCCATTGTGATCTTTTAGATCCCTTGTTGACCATACATTGCATCACAAACGAATATCACTAGCGATATTAATTTTGATATATATGTCTTGTTTATTCAGTGAGTCAAACACAACCAGCAAAATTGAAAATATGACTGTTTGAAAAACATTTTGGATGATTTTTTTGGCACAGCTAAGGAGAACACATGAGATTGGGACTTACTTGTCAGCATTAGTCACCAAGTAGACCTCTTTGAAGTGCTGTCTCCTGGAAAAATAGAAGAATAAGGTTAAAGTGTTTCCTCATTAATTTCATTGATTTTTATAGACGTACAGTGTAATGCGATGGCCTGAAAGGTTATTCTTCTCACTGCATCTTTGTTAATAAATTTTGGGTGGTAACGTGATAATCTGCATAAAGCTTAGAGACGGTATTTAGTATAAAGTGCTATACAAATCCGGATTCATACCATCATAATCATCATCATCATCATCACCCTTTCCTAATAATGTTAGATTTAGGGCTAGTTATAGTTAGTTAATAGTATTGTATTCAAATGATGAGTTTGGTTAGTGCAGGAAATGGATGCAGAGACATCGTCATGGGAGATGGGAGCATGTGTCTAACAACTACCTATACAGCCTGTTTATTTTGAGGGTTGCTATAGCCTACTTACGTATTGATGGCATCCCACCAGTAATCAAGTATCTTTCTGCCACCAACTCCAGGAAGAAGAGCCTTGGGGATTCCTTCCAGAGAACAGTATCTACCTGATGAATCTTCCTGCAATGACAAACCAAGAGCCAAGAGTGAGGCAGATCGAGACATACAGGGAAGTGGGGGAGGCCGAGGGAGGGAGGGAGGTGAGGGATCAAGGTGATACACAAAAAGAGAGAGAGAGGGTGGGACTCGGGTGGAAGGGGGGGGGGAGGGAGGGAGGGACGGAGGGATCGAGAGAGAGAGAGAGAGAGAGAGAGAGAGAGAGAGATGGGGGAGGGAGCCAAAGCAGAGGACTCACACTATTTGCAGTGATTCAAGGATAAATTAGAATAAGAGGGCATCAGATTTATGGTCAGGGTCCACAACTTCAACATTCACATTGTTCAAAGGAAAACAAAATCTCTATAATCTTAACTTTATTATTATCATTCAAGGCTAGCTAGCTCATCTCAAGTGATTAAATAAAACATTAACTTAAAGAAAGAAACAAAAACACCACGCCCTAAATTAAATGGACTTTGGATCAGCTCGGCGCCCCAAGTTTACAGCACCTAACTAATCCCCGCCCAAAGATATCGAGAGAGCCCTCGGTACACACTCCACAGCAAAGCATAAAGAGAGTCGATGCTAATGCGCATTGACCTTTAGCAATGCACTACGTGTTAATAGGCAGCATTTAAATACATGAATAGTCAATACACTCATAACACGCAAATCTACACAATCATGCCGATGCGATTGATCGGCAAGTTTGACAGTGGACTCACAATTTGAATCTTTAAATTATTTTTTCTAATATCGGAAAATTGAAAAAATTGTATTTTATTGCAATTTTAGTTGTTATCAATTGTTACTAAAGTACCGACTTTGGGTGAAATCAGTCGAGTTCTGTACAGTGGTGTTTGAAATGTTGACAATCAATAGCACAAATTGTAATACACAGCCAGGATAGTAATGCACCTATGTGTGTCGGTACATAGTGACACCCCTGCTCATATTGTCATAATCATATCATATTACTCGCCAGTCGACGAACTAAATCTACGTTACCTTAATTTCATTTTCTAAAATTGTCCCATGTCCAGCAACAAGAATAATGCAAATCATCGTCGACAGGTTAATAATAATCGAGGAAAAGAGGTAAAATTGGATAAATTTGATTTCGAAAAGGACAAACACAAACGGGATATTTTACGGATGCGATAGACAGACAGAATTGTATACAAAATGACGTGTTTTGCTTAGTCTTGGATCTACGCTATATCAGTAATAAATATATTTATCTTGATGTTTTACCAGAAGTACATGCAGTGGCGTACGCAGGATTTTTTCAAGGGGGGGGGGGGGGGGGGGGGGGGGGGGGGGGGGGGGTAAGAGGACACTTTTTTTCTGGTCTCGAAATTTGAAAATTTGACATTTTGTTCCGTTGGGGGGGGGGGGGGGGTAAGGTCACCATTTTTAGGTCAGCCATTGGCATAATTTTTTATTTTTTATTATTATTACAAAAAAACAAAAAAAATCAAAGGGGGGGGGGGGGGTTCACAAAAATCATACACAAAACATACACATAAAAAAAACTCAAGGGGGGGGGGGTTTAACCCTTTGTACATGTATATGGAACTGGATGAAAGCGATATCAATAATTTTTAATAAAAATAATTAAGAGCTGTATTCGTTCAATGAATTATAATATTTAGCCTTGGACGATATTGCTGAACGATATAAACATATAATAAAACAAAGTAGCTTGGAATAAAAACTAATGGAGAGCTAGAGGTCAACAAACTTTTCGCTTCGTGTCGTTTTCGAGAAGGAATCACCGACGAAGTTTGTTTTTACTCCTTATTTTGTGAATCATTTGAAATAAATTTGTAAAGGAACCATCCAACAAGATGGCGATGAATATTCTCAGGTCCAGAGGTAATGAAAATCAGTGAAATGTTCATTAAATAATTGGTTTTGCGTGATAGTGTTTATGCTCAACGAGCGAGTGTGAAACTGCAACTCTGCCTGTGTGTTAAATGTATGTGCCAGTTACGCGTTACGTGTGTTTTGTGTGAACTTACAACTGCGCCTGCTGGCATGTTGGCACTGGGCTGGGGAGGGACGACGGGGAGGGAGTGCAGTGCGGGCTGGCCTGGTTGATAATTATAAATGGAATATGATATTGAAATCACCTAGTCTTCATTAGCACCTGTACCCCTGCGTATAGAGGGAGGTAAACAAACCTGCATTATCGGTGATCCAAGTCTCTTGGGACTCGGATCCACAGGCACAGACACTTCTTACCACCTGTTTACTAAAAAAAAACATGTTCTTCTTCTAGAGTCAGATCTACCTTCCAAGATTGTATCAACCAAAGCGCATGTATAATTATATTATTTAGTCAAACCAATTTATCTAGTAGGTCTATTAAGTAAGGGCGCTGGTCCGAGAATAAGGACCGTCCGCAATAACGAGGATCATCTTCGAAAACACTGACAGACAGACGTGTCCGCAAAAATTAGGATAGTCCGATTTTTTGCTGATGTTTCTGATTTCCGATCCATGTGTTGACAATGTGAAAAACGGATTCCGTGATGATTTCTTGATGCATTTCACATTGACTCTGAACAGGGACTTTCATGTGATTAGTGATAAATCCTTGGGAAGACGGTGAACTCAGAACTAGACCTAGAGGTATTTTATTCTGCAGAATCTGTTTTTCGCATTGCCAGCCCGCGGATCGGGAACCCGAAACCCGCAGAGTGCCAAAGAAATAAATACCTCCATGAAAATGCGGACGATCCTTATTTTGAAGGAAGCATTTAGTCTGCGTTATCCTCGTTTATGCGGGCGATCCTCATTCTTTGACCAGTGCCCCTCCTGGTAGAAGTCTTTCACTAAATAAAGCATTTGAACTATAATTCACATTTATTTAGTGAAGCATTAATACTGGTAGGCTGAATGAGTTGATTAATTTCATCATGCCTTTAAAGTGACTTGGTAACATTGTTGAAGGTTCATGAAAAAAATGCTTAATTTTTTTATGTAATGTTACTATTCCTTCTACTGTACTAAACCTATGACATGCAGAAAATCCTGAAAAAATTCTCAAACCACAAAGATATCTATGGTTTTCTTTAAAAAGGCCGATGTATGACACCCTCTAACAGTGATTAACAGTAAATTCTCCCAACCATTTTTGAATTTTCCCAATCGTTTTTTCCATGAAAAAAAGACTTAAAACAGGCTATAAAAAATTTGTCAACACTTTAATGTCTGGAATGGAATGTAGAGCCATTTTATTGCTTTGTGACAATTTCCATTCCCCTAAAATGTAATTAAATTGTAATAATATAGTTGAGAGAATTAAGGAATCGTATCAGATCAGTTTTTCCCTAATTGTACCATGAATAATGGTCCGTTTTCACTCAAACTTCAGATTATCTTTAATTGTACATCTAGCATTGAAATCGCTACCTTAGAACCACTATCTCTCATCTTAACAATGTTACCAAGTCCCTTTAAGGGTTATTGAAGACGAAATATTACTTTCATTACAATTTTTCTTTGAATGATATTATTGCTTTATTAAAGGGGAAGTCCACCCTGAAATTAAGTTAGTTTTAATAGGAGTAGAAAAATGAGAGAAACAAGTCAGTGAAAGTTTGAGCAAATTCCGATTAAAAATAAGGAAGTTAGGATTTTTGAAGTTGTGATCAATCAAACACAAATTGGCAACTCTATGACGTATCATGCGAGCTCATCTTCCATTTGCTCAGTACTAAAAAAATCTAAAATTTTCATTTTCCCTCAAGAAAAATTTCAACCATACATGCACCCTAAATATAATAATTGCAAATATGTTTCTATACTCCCCCTGCAAGGAACAAATATATATTCCGTCATCAATAACAAAGAAAACATGATTTTATGGAATATTATGCACAAAGCAAATGAAGGAGAGCTCGTATAATAAGTCACAGAGTTGCCAATTTGTATTTGATTGATCACAACTTCAATAATTCATAACTTTCTTATTTTCATTCAGAATTTGCTCAAACTTTCACTCACCTGATTTTCTTATTATTCTGCCTCTATCGAAACAAACTTATTTTTGGGGTGGACTTTCCCTTTAAGTCAAGCCAATTTATCTAGTTGGCCTATTAACTCTTTGTTTGCTTTGTTCGCCGATTTGCACGGACGTAGGCGTGCCAACTTCGCATTTTTGCACAGATGTATACGAGTCAATTAGACATTCATAATACCGCTCGCAGTGTGTAGCCACGCGTTGCGTTTACTATTGTTTACATTGTATACATCGCACACTTTCCGGTAAACTGTTTTTCTTCATAGTGTTACATTCGAAATTACCGTGTATTTAGCGGTTTTCTTTGGATTTTTTTTACTGATGTTACGATGGCACCTGCTGGAAAACGTCAACGTGTGTTTAGTGTAGAGGAGGCTCGAGATCTTGTTACTATGGAAGCATGGAGCATGGACTCTGATTCCGACGAATCGAGCAGTGACGAAGACTCTAGTGATAAAAGTGTTCCCTGAGAGTAGACTGATAGAATAAGAATGAATAAAAATTAATGAAAGAGCTAGAGATGACAGCAAGAAAGAGAGTAGACTGATAGAATAAGAATGAATAAAAAAAAATGAAAGAAGGAGATAGAGATGACAGCAAGAAAGAGAGTAGACAGTGATAGAATAAGAATGAATAAAAATAATGAAAGAAAGAGATAGAGATGACAGCAAGAAAGAGAGTAGACTGATAGAATAAGAATGAATAAAAATTAATGAAAGAGCTAGAGATGACAGCAAGAAAGAGAGTAGACAGTGATAGAATAAGAATGAATAAAACTAATGAAAGAAAGATGTATCCTGTCTTGCCGTCATCTTTATATCTTTCTTTTATTATCTTTATTCATTCTTATGCTATCAGTGTTTACTCTCTTTCTTTCCGTCATCTCTATCTTATTATTATTATCATTTTCCTATCTATATGTACCCTATGTCTTGCCGTCATCTGTATATCTTTTTCTTATTATCTTTATTCATTATTATGCTATGAGTGTAATACTCTCTTTCTTGCCGTCATCTCTATCTCATTATTATTATCATTTTCCTATCTATATGTACCCTATGTCTTGCCGTCATCTCTATATCTTTCTCTTATTATCTTTATTCATTCTTATGCTATCAGTGTTTACTCTCTTTCTTTCCGTCATCTCTATCTTATTATTATTATCATTTTCCTATCTATATGTACCCTATGTCTTGCCGTCATCTCTATATCTTTTTCTTATTATCTTTATTCATTATTATGCTATGAGTGTAATACTCTCTTTCTTGCCGTCATCTCTATCTCATTATTATTATCATTTTCCTATCTATATGTACCCTATGTCTTGCCGTCATCTCTATATCTTTCTCTTATTATCTTTATTCATTCTTATGCTATCAGTGTTTACTCTCTTTCTTTCCGTCATCTCTATCTTATTATTATTATCATTTTCCTATCTATAATTATGTACCCTATGTCTTGCCGTCATCTCTATATCTTTCTCTTATTATCTTTATTCATTCTTATGCTATCAGTGTTTACTCTCTTTCTTGCCGTCATCTCTATCTTATTATTATTATCATTTTCCTATCTATATGTACCCTATGTCTTGCCGTCATCTGTATATCTTTCTCTTATTATCTTTATTCATTCTTATGCTATCAGTGTTTACTCTCTTTCTTGCCGTCATCTCTATCTTATTATTATTATTATTTTCCTATCAATATGTATCCTATGTCTTGCCGTCATCTCTATATATTTCTCTTATTATCTTTACTCATTCTTGTGCTATCAGTGTTTACTCTCTTTCTTTCCGTCATCTCTATCTTTTTATTATTATCATTTTCCTATCTATATGTACCCTATGTCTTGCCGTCATCTCTATATCTTTCTCTTATTATCTTTATTCATTCTTATGCTATCAGTGTTTACTCTCTTTCTTTCCGTCATCTCTATCTTATTATTATTATCATTTTCCTATCTATATGTACCCTATGTCTTGCCGTCATCTCTATATCTTTCTCTTATTATCTTTATTCATTCTTATGCTATCAGTGTTTACTCTCTTTCTTTCCGTCATCTCTATCTCATTATTATTGTTATTTTCGTATCAATATGTATCCTGTCTTGCCGTCATCTTTATCTCTTTCTCTTATAATCTTTATTCACAGTAAAGTCCTTTCATTTCATATCACTATTTCTCTCTCATAATGTCTCTCACGTCCGTTCTCCATATTTTATTCATTGCATACTCCACTCGTCAATCATTTCTGATAATAAGCTCTCTCACAATAAAGTAAATGGAAAACAATGCAATATAGTTTATATTTTAAGATTGATTCATTCTTTCTTTGTATATCTATGGCTGTGATAAATGTACTTGAAATCAATTTTATTGAGGGGTAAAGAAGGTGAGAGAACAGATGCGGTGAACATTCATAATGAGACATTTCAATAAGATGCTGATTATGTCATGTATATCACATATAATATATTATGCCTATACCATTTTTACATGCTCATACCAGTGGGCAAAATCAATAACATTCTCTTATTTCTTATTGACTTATCATGGCACAACAAAGAAAAACATCCCCACGACGTCCCTTTTCATGCCCCGCTAAACCGGACATTGACAATAACCTGGGGTAATAGGGATTTCAATGGGCAGATTAGCCCATTGTCAAGGGTGGCTGAGCGGGGTACTTTCAAGTCTCTCCCTATTGAACTTCTTTTCTTCAACAACCTAAATACTAACCTTCTGAATTGTTAGAATACTTGAGCAAGGTATGTAAAGAAAGGTAAGAAGTCCACCTTTCTAATAGATTCGATTTGAAGATGTCTTATCATTGCTAAATAAGAAATTCTAGAGGGATAAAAAACTGCCGTAAATAAGAAAAATTAAACATTATATAATTATGATTATTATAAAAATGATAATTCAAAATATAACAAATGACGGTTCATCGAAAAGCACGTTTTCCGGTCTACAACTTTGCTGCACAATATTTTTCATCATGATCATCCAGTGAAGAGTTATAGCCTCTTGATTCAGCAGAGTCAATAAAGATTCCCTCGAAATGTGTGACCCTAAAAGAATGTGGCACAGGGGGTTTTTTTAAGTGGCGCATAAAGAGTTAAGAAAAAACACCATGTAACTGTATGTATGCATGTATTCCTTGTGGTCCCCTTTGCGTGTTAAAATCATAATTTCCCATAGGAGGGGACCTACACCATATAGTCATGGATCTAGTAGTGAGTTGTATAAAAAGAGAATTCAGTCCAATTTTCTCTTTCTCTCTTCCTGTTCTTCAGCTCTGCTGACGAGTCCACGGCTGATGACCAGTGCGTTTCTGAAGTCACCTTATCAAGCCAACTATCCCGCTATGCTCAACACGTTACACACCACTCACAACAATCACAGTAAGTAAAAAAAAGAGAGCGCAAATTGAAGAGTACCGGTAGTTTAATGACTCTCTAATTCCTTAAAAGAGTCCTTTTCCAGAGCTCCAGTATTTTGTCTCTATGTCCAGGTTGTAATTGGGGGTCTTTATGCACAAGCCCCCCCGTTGCAACGTCCAACATTTTGGGGGCTTTGAGTTGGAATTGGGATGACCACATACAGTGTATTTCATTCATCTGTAACTTTCAAGCCTTGATATCAAATTTATTTACTCCAAACATTTGCATAACAATTCTCAAACTTGTGCTGTATTTGTGTATTTGGGTGATAAATGTCTTTCATTCATTCATTATTTTATTTAATTATTCAATCATTAATTTATTCATGAAATCATTTGTTTTTTCAATCATTTATTCATTCATTCATTAAAAAAAAATATTGTGTAATCGTGGTGCAGCACCACTGCGCCGAGAAACAATGTCTAACATGTACATGTAGGCGCGTTTTAAATGTGATCTATTATTATTATTCATTCATTCATCCATTCATTCATTCATTCATTCATTCATTCATTCATTCATTCATTCATTCATTCATTCATTCATTCATTCATCCATCCATTCATTCATTCATTCATTGAAATCTTCTATCTTTCTACCCTTCAGCCGCAGGTTTACTTCCGTCCAAGCACTGGAATGCTGAGAGAGTGTTATCTATAGGTCTGATTGGTATCATCCCAGCGGCTTTCCTCATTCAGAACCCAGCGCTAGACTATGCCCTCGCAGCAAGCCTTGTCTTACATGGGCACTGGTAAGGATGGAGTAATAGAAGTAGTAGTAGTTATAGTAGTTATAGTAGTAGTACTGTAGTAGTAGTAGTAGTAGTAGTTGTGGTATTATTATTAGTAGTAGTAGTGGTAGTGGTAGTGGTACTTGTAGTAGCAGTAGCAGTAGCAGGAGTGGTGGTAGTGATGGTAGTGATGGTAGTGGTCGTAGTGGTAGTAGTAGTTGTAGTAGTTGTAGAGGTGGTATTAACAGAAGTAGTAGTAATAGTAATTGATGATAGTGGTGGTGATGATGGTACCAAGTAAGACTAAGCTTAGACAGAGAAATCAGGAGAAGAAGAAGTTTACAAGTATTACATTGGCTGAAATGACAATGAAATACCCTTTCCTTTTCCTGTTTCATTGTGCTTTTGCAATGATATTTAAGATCGCTGTTACTACCTATATACACTGTACAGTAGGTATTTAAGTATGTTTTCTGCTTTCTGCTGTGCTTGTTTTCCTTCTCTTGCAACCATCGGGTACTACACTTGTCCACTAAATTGACCACAGGATAGTGAAATCTGTCCACTATACTTGGCTAGGTGTCAGAGTGTAACAATGTATCATTTGCTTTTCTTGCCTTTCGCAGGGGAATGGAGCAGGTATTCCTGGATTACGTTCACGGTGAGACGATGTCAAAGGTCGCCAACGCCTCCCTCTTCGCCATCTCCGCCCTTTCCTTCGCCGGTCTCTGCTACTTCAACTACAACGATGTCGGGCTCACAAAGGCAGTTATGATGCTGTGGTCATCATAGTCCAGTAAACCGGTCAAACTTGTATTCTATGAGGTTGATCATACTGGGTGTATATGTGTGGTACTTCACATACTGGCCCAAAGTGTTTGATTTCAGTTTGTTTAATATGTGCCGGGCAGAAAGGTCCAATTGCACAACTTTGTCCTGTTCCAATTTTTTTTTTCAATGCTGAAGTACAGTAAAACCTGTCTATAAAGACTACCAAAGGGAGACGTAGAAAGTGGGTTTTATAGGCAGGTGGTCATTAAAGCAGGTTTGAATTCTCTATCACTGTTGACAATTTTGATAATGTATGGCCAGACACATGTTGAGTAATGTAGTTGATTAATGGTCAACATTTAGAAATGTGTATTTTCAAAATCTTCCTGTCGTGCGTTCATTGACAGACTTCTGCCAGGCACCTGATTAATAACTGAATGAATGATTTATAGTTTTTTAAACCCAGTCATGTAAATGTTTGATAAAAAGCATGTCGTGACCATGATGTACCATGCATACGCCCAGTATGGCCAGCCTTTAGATTTCATTAAAAGAAATCTTGAGTTCTGGTAATAATAGAAATGTATATTCGGAGAGGAACTCACTAAAAACAGTCGCACTGAAATGTTTAACATGCAATAGATGACATGTTTGAATGCATAGATGACATGTTTGAATGCATAGATGACATGTTTGAATGCATAGATGACATGTTTGATTGCATATATGACATGTTTGAATTCAGCAATCCTGTTGAGAATGTCGTAAGTTTGCTACTTAATTATAGGTCCATTTATAAAGCGCAGCAGAATTTACTCTGCTGCGTTTAATATAAAGTACATTATTACCCCGGCTGTAGCTGAGCTGCCATAATAAGGCTCTAAAGCTTTCATGGAATGTTGTCCCTACTGCTTATACTTTACCTGGGTGGAGAGTAAGCAAATGTAAATTAATGTCGGATTGTTGCAAACTTGCAGAGACTTTCTGACAATCAAATCAACTTTAAAGAACAAACATGCATATATATTGGACTAGGTATTTTACCAATCAGCTAGATCACAAAGTTATTTCTCCGTCTTTGCACACCACTCAAGGATAGTATTTTTCCATAGATTGATTGGTTAGACATTTATAATCTTTAATAAGACATGTACTTTACTCTGTTTTGGTTATATTACCAGAACTCCAGAAAACACTTTTCCCTTCTATACTGGAGGACTACTGGCTAAATAATACGACCCTACTGAGGGCAGCAGACATTGCATTTATATCAGGCCTGAAACTCTGACCAGAGTTATGAGAAAAAATGATTAAAGTCCTTCTTGATCTGAAAGAAGAGATGCATGAAATCATTCTGGTGTGAAGAGCTGCAAGGTAAAATGGACAAAAATAAACGTTAATTTGACAGATGTTGGTTCATGACTTAGTGACACATTTCATGGATGAAACGTATGTAATCAGTTTAAATTACACCACACATGCTGGTTCTCGTAACGTTTATATGTTATTTTTTTCCAAATTTATATCAACCATAAAAATGTTATGACTATCTTCAGTGAACTTTGTAATTAGTTTTCAGCCTTCATAAATCACTTGCATTGTAGGAAATGCAAATATTCAATCTCCAAATACTGCTTCCAGCACTCATGTAATACATTGTCTATCGTCTCTAGATTTTTATTATTATAAACAACATTAAAAGATCTCACGATATGCATACCACAATGGCACAGTGGTTACACGTTCAATGTTCCTGTATGGAAATCATAAATGACTGCAGTTAAGTTTGATTGATATTTACCTTTAGACAAGACAAGTATTTTATATCTCAAGGATAGGAGCAGGTAGCAAATACTCACGAACCAAAAAGATAGGATAAATATAAAAATCATGATATATGCCAGCTCTGTTCTCCTTTTTAGGAGTGTTTTCCGTACAAATGTCTGGATAAATTGTGCATTTGTTTTCCTTTATCTCAAGAGGTCATCTTTAGGTCAAATGATGACAGAGAATAGATACAGAAGTTCAAATGATTTTTCTCTGAATGTTCAAGATTACAGCTCAGCTGCTGAGAGCCAGAAGGGTATTAAAGGTATAGACCAGTTCCGGTCATGCGATTACATTGTGTAAGAAACGTTGTGGAATCGATCAGAAAAGGTTGATCATCTAGCATATAAGTATTGGTGTGTACTCCAAGGTTCTGGAATCATTAAAATGATAAGAAATTTGGCCCAGTTTTAGTAAAGTTACAAGCAATGGGACTGCGCGATATCTATTCAAGTTGAAATAGTTGAAATATTTATTGGTTACTGAATCATCATAGGTTATAACAATGATGTGACAATGTCTTTACATGAGTATAAAACATAAGTTAAATTACATTTCCACATTCAGTAAATCATAGATACATACGCTCGAAGAGGTGATGATACAGAAGGGCTACAGCCTAAGCGTGACAGCTTGATACGCTTGCAGCCCAGAAACATTTAAAATCATAACGAAATAGATATAATAATTTACCAATATCAATTAGTAGGCGGTTTCCATTTGTATCATCACGTATTAGTCAAAACATTTCACTTCCATTTCATTTTTTGAGAGGGGGGCATTTCCAAAACTGGTCTTTACCTTTAACTCTGTATTCAAATCTAGGAGTTACCCTCTTCTGGTCGTGAGCTGATAAATTCACTGAAACTATCAATTAACCCATTGGCTACCGGAAGCGGGTGGTACCTGTATTAATCCTATGGCAATGAAAGAATTCAGTAGTCAAGGGGTTAAATGAGAGGTAAGCTGAAGATACTGTCTTAGCATGTATACCATGTTGTCCCCTACATGCATGTTAGATTTGTGAACGTGAGTTCCAGCACGTTGCCATTCATTTCATTATACCAGAACTCGACATTAGATCAAACATCATAAAATATTTACGACCTTACTTTATTATTTACCTTTGCTGCGTGATCAATAAACGCTTGTACAATTATTTGTTTGTCCACTACAAGATGACAGACATGATGATGTCATCTGGTCATAGGAGGTGAGCCTATTTCAAGTAATGATTATTAATTATTACACAAACACAATAGTAGTTCTAAATATCAAATTGACTTTTTTTCTATTGCTATACAAACATGTAAACCAGTGGTATAGTATGATAACTCATTTCAATAATTATTGCACATGTTTCTTATGAAAACTTACTAAAGCTTTGTTCACACATGATGTTGTTTAAATACACTGGGTCGAATTCACAATTTATTTTAAGCTTTTACCCAGTCTAAACCATGGTTTAACTAAAATAGAGTAAATAAGCGTGCCAAAGGGTATGGCCAGTCCTCATCAGCTCCAGTTTGCCAAATAACCCGCTATTTTCAGACTCAAGATATTATCCCAAAGCTGAAAATTGCGTCTTCACCAGACCAATATGCTCATCACAAACTACCTTGGATGAGCGCTAATTAGCCCGCTATTTCCCAAACAGCGGGATATGTTAGAAACAATACCAATATTTCTTGGGATATTTTCTTGACCAAATATCCCGCTGATTGAAACTGCGGGCTGATGAAGACGCAAATTAACTGGCTAATTTGTGATCGGGATAGCTAAAATAGCAGGTTATTTGGCAATGTCGAGCTGATTAGGACAGGCCTATATTGTATTGCCTGTTCTTTGAACATGGGTGACCTACACACCAGCTGTGAGTAAACCAGCTTTAACCCTTTGCTTACTGGAACCTGGTGGTCCCTGTGTTAAGCCTATGGGAATTAGATAATTCAGTATTCAACGGGTTAATACAGCATTGTGTGTGAACGAGGGTTTTGTAAGGTCAAAGGTCAATCATTGAATTTCAGCACAGCCTATGAACCATGTAGGTGAGGCGGACTATATGAGTAATAATAATGAATGTGATTTATTAATGTGATGTACAGTGTACGTGTATCGGTCAATATGTAACATACTTCTCTTCTTATAATTGAACCTGAACCAAGGTTTTATTGTTGTGTTTGGTTGATGTTCCAGTTGAGGTTCAAGTATAATTCTTTAGATTACAAACAATTATGATTTGTGTATAGCAGATATATGTTAAAAGAAGGTGAAAATTGTTATTTTAGTGTGAATAAGCATAAAGCTGTAAATGTGTTTTGGGAGCTTTCCTCATAAACCTATAGATTCATGCACAGAGTTTGGACTTGTGTATGAACCAGGCCTGTGGGATTCCTTGCTCGTACCTCAATCGGTTAAGTCGTTGAACATCAAACTTACAAAGAGTTATAGAACTCAATCAATTGTAAACCGCATTGAGAGATTAACGAGGGACAAAGGCTTTCATTCTCGAATCATTTTAGCTCTGTGTTACAGATACTACCTTGTCTGTTATCAGGGATGCCAGTTTTCAGGCAATAGCCTGAATTCAAGCCCTGGCGAGTCATTTTCAGGCCATGGTTTAGGCTTGTTTGTGTACAAAATAGCTCATTCTAGGTGATTTTCAGGCCCTCTGATCAATTCTAACTGGCAACCCTGTATTATCAACTTGGATTCAGTAATTCTGCAGAGAGCCAGAGGTGTTTTAACTTGCATTTATTTTACACAGAGTTCAGTCTTGAGTGGATACAAGCAAGCTCATACTGTTGTGAAACCATTGATGAAATATGTTACACAGAGGAACAGGTACGATGAAGTAACATACAATTTGTATTTGAAATGTCTTGATATGTATATGAATATAGAGATTACATATCCTTATATCCTAATAAAAAACAAAGAAAACAATACAGTGTCTCCATATTGCTTTTGTCACCCCTGACCAGCAGATTGTATCCTTCTCTCCCTCCGCTCCACTTTCCTAAAACTGTTTGCAAGTATTATGACATTTCTATGTATTATCTGATTGTTATACTCATTGTAGGCCGATTGGTCAAATAAATAATAATAATAATACTGTATATTCTTATTGATAAATAGCCTAATTTGTATGTAGACGTATTTTTCTCTCTTATCCAAAATGTTTTAACCAAGTATTAAAATGCTGGCCTGTAACATAAAACGTTAAACGGTTATGGTTAATCGCATCTCCCCAAATTAAATAATTTCTCCATCATTGATTATTTAAAGTAATTTATTTTTATATTACAGGTAGATGCAATGCGTTGCAAGATTCAATCAACTGCAGCAAAATCAGAGATAGAAACCATAAAATACATTTTACGATTGATTTTAAGTTTGAGTTTCATGTCCCATGACCATTACCCCTTCTCGTTTGAGATAAGCAGATAGAAGGGCCTAGCTAGTCTCGTGACTTCATGTAATTTATTCTCAATGCACATCATTTGGGGAAAACATATTTTTTGGGGGAATTGCAGCTTTATTTATCTTCATCATCATTTATTAAAGTCATCATTTTCTATCTTTCGCGCCATGATGACACTCCCTCCATCCACTTCTTGTCTCAAGCATCCTCCTCATGTAGACCAACCTTGACTGCTTTCTTTATCTTTCTGCATTCAGAAACGAGCCTAGTGGCAAATAATACATTTTGTGATATGAAACATATCTTTAGCTTCGCAGTATCAAGCCCAATTTAAAACTGAAAACACTTTATGTTTCTTAATTGATGATTTACTCAAAGAGCACTGAACGAGAACTTGTAATTTGCATTCGTGTTAAACACTACATGAATTTTTTGTTTTACAAAAGCGTCTCCTCAAAATAAATTTTATCAATTGTAACTTTACAATAAATAGTAAATGATGAAGTAATGTAATACAACGTTTGGTAAAGAATGGTAGGATAAAGACTGCATGGTGAAACTATTGATTTTTACGATTGGTATAGTGGGTCGATTTTTAAATACAGGGCCTAGAATATTATCCACTGTAAAAAAAAGAAAAAAGATGTTGTATTGGGTTGTTGTATAATACAAGAACCCATTATTATTATTGTTATTCTTCTTCTTCTTCTTCTTCAAAATAATCTGCCTCCTTCACTGCTGAAGATTCTTGCAGATGTGTGCGAGTGCATGTGTGTTGCGACATGGGGATGTCCAGGTGTGCAGGTGAGAGGTGTATATATACATAGTGCCAGTAAAAAAAACATTGCCGGAATTTACTTCCCCCCGGTCTTTAGTTGTCGCTGGAAGGCTTCCACTGATGGAGCCAGGACAACCTCAAGAGGGAGAGCGTTCCACTGTCGAACAGTGCGAGGAAAGAAGGAGTGAATATGTTGCTCTGTTCGTGACTGCATGACACGATAACAGTAAGGACGAGACGATCTTGTAGTTCTTACGACTGTTGCCGGTTGGATGTAGTGGTGGATGTCAAAGTCAACCAAAGAGTAGTGCATCGATCTTGTACAGTAAAGTGAGACGTTGATGCTCTCTTCTCTTCTGGAGGGAGGTCCATCCAAGTTGACTCAGCATATCAGAGACGCTAGATGTATGATGATAGCGGTTGAGAACATATCTCGCTGCTCGTCTCTGGACCATCTCCAACTGGTTTACACATCTGATGGTGTGTGGATCCCAAACAGCACTCCCGTACTCAAGAAGAGGGCGAACGAGAGCCTGGTATGCAGTAGTCTTAAGCCGAGGGGAGTTGACACGCAGGTTCCTTCTAAGAAAGGCTAGGGTGTTGTTTGCCTTCTTGCAAGTGGCAGATACATGCTGTGTCCAGTTGAGGTCAGCAGTACGTGAGAGTAATGCCAAGGTATTTGGCAGCTGACACAGACTCCAAGATTTCTCCGTTGAGTGAATAACGATGGACATACTTGGTCTTCTTCCTGGAGACAGTTATGACCTGGCATTTCTTTGGATTTAGTGCCATCATCCACTTGCTTGACCACCTACAAAGTTGATCAAGATCCTGC